ATTCCCCCCCCCCCCCCCGTAACATGATAAAAAAGTTTCTTTGCTGAAGGATAAAAATTGAGGGAAATTTTGAAGCATTCCTGTGCCTTTTTGAAACCAAGTTGCCACTCTAGTCTGAGAGCCCGTAATTTGAAGATTTCAGAGTAAAAGATGTTTGATCTCTGAAGTGGCATTCTAAGTACTACTTCTTGTCACTTGGAAAGATAATTTTTTTTAGCTCACTTTAAACTCAGTGAGATAGTCCTTCATTTTTGTAACCCCTTAGAGAATGCTGTAAAGCACTATGAAGCAGTATATACATATACAGTAAATGCTATTGCTATTTAAAGTATCAATTTCTTTATTGCCCTTTTAAAAAGTGGCCCCTGCTTTTAATCCCAAAGATGCTTTTTCAAAAGGCAATTGGACTTTGTTTTTCCTTGAAGATGTTTAGCTTCTCATCCAAGAAGCTTCCTCAGTTCAGATCAGAACTGAAGACGCTTCTTGGATGAGAAGCAAAATGTCTTCAATGAAAAACAAAATCTAGTTGCCTTTTGAAAAATCATTTTTGGGACAACTATGTTCTGGATGATTGAGAATCTCTGTAGACTCCTGCATATAAAATCTTCTGGCTAAGAAAATGGGGAATGCTCTCAAGTTTTCCAACCAAGATTGTTCCAATCACAATTGTTTCTAAAAGCCCATCTAATTTCTTACCCTTTTCCTTTTCATTTTCCTTTTCCTTTTGGAGAATATTTGTAGGCTCTTCTGCTCAAAATTTACATTTACAGCCAAGTTATTTAGTTATATGATCTTCATCAAAGAGTTATCCCACTATTTAGTCTTAACAAAGCTCATCCCAAAACTATTCATTCTTTGCAGTCTTTGTCAGAAAACTGATTTCCTCCTTTGCTGGTATACTTGTTTATAATCTTTCTTCACTATTATCAGGAAAGCAATGAAATTCATACAGAACTGGAAATGTTACTGAACCTTCAGTAGGTTTCAGTAGGTTTTGAGCATATATTTAAAAGCCATCTTCTTAGTCAGACTACATGTCATACAAGCTTGCCTTAAATGAGCTGAAAATTGGTAGAATACTAAAATGCGCAGCTCAAACTGCATTCGCTGATTCCCTTTTCTTGAATAATAAGTAATATATCCAAATTTCTAAAAAGTGTCTTTGGATTTGAAACTAACTAAAATGGAAGCTTGTTACTGAGATACCCTCAAAGTATGTAATAATTCTACAATTCCGAAAGTTGTCTGCTTGTTCATTTCTGGCAGTTCCAGGAGAATGCTGTTGCATTCTTGCAAGTGGAAAATGAGTCACTCTCACGCTTGAGTTCACAATTTTAATCTTATGGTACTCACGCTTCAATGGTAAGATGTGAACCAGAGCTAGCAGTCTGGTGTAGAAATTGTTTATGTGACATCTGCTTTCATTTGGAATTGCTGTGTTTTATTTCTCTATTCTTCCCATATTATCTCTAGGTTTAATTCCAGGGCTTTCTATATGAGAAGAATTGTTTCAGGGATTTGTTATCATACTCAAGAAGCTCTCACTGGATCCTGGCAATTTGAAGATATCATTTGCATGAAGTTTCTAGTAAACTTGCCAATGGCACAACTTTCTGAGTCATAATGATTTGGTTTAATCATTTCCTTATCTGGAGGAATGTAGATTGTTGGTTATATGTAAAGACTTTTTCAGAAATAAGCAAAATCAGTATATTCTAGATTTACACATTAGCATAATTCTTAATCAGCTGAGTATCTGAAGGTTTAAAATGATTTAATAAGAGGAATGGTTGATGCAAGCTCTCCTTAATTCTGTAACAGATGTGCCTAGGAATGGAAAATCTAACTTCATGTGGAGTCTAAACTGGATGACCACTATCATGAGGTGGGTTAGTGGGGAAGAATTTTAAACTAATGGAAAAGTTGATTGAATCAAATAATTTGGAGAGTCAAGAAATCTATAAAAGGCAAGAAGACTGCATTTAAAGAATACAGTTTAAAAATAGGGCACATTTTCTGTATAAAATATGCGAGAGGAGAAAAAAAGTGGGTTATTGCCATATTTTACATATCCTGGAAACACTGAATCAGCTAGGTATCAAAATAAAGAAGCCAAATAATTTGTTATTTGCATAAGTTGACATATATCCTGTAACAGTTTTCTAGATGGGGCATGCCATGAGTCAACAGAGATGGAGAAAACATTTGGCTGCTACAATCTCTTTTTGCACCCTGTCTGCAGGGTTTAGTCAAGAAGATCAAGATGGTGTAATCCAAGTTTTGGCTATTTTTTAAAAATGTGCAATTTTTTTTTTAAAAAACAATCATACTCTGCAGACACCCTAGTTGGCTCTGCTAGCCAATCCCATCAGTACAGTTGTCTACCCTTTGTTATCTTTTTATCTGCCTCGGAGAAACAACAACAATAACAAAACACACATATGAATTATTTTTAAAACCCTGTAATCTTCTTTTCATTTTAATAGGATGTTTGTTTTCTCTGCTGTGTGCAGTTTTCGCTCACTGGAATACTGTAAGATTTCCAGAACTATTTCTTGGAATAAGGGATTTTATATTTCATTACTTCTGTATAGTTCCTGAGGGAATTTCAAATGGTGCATAAAAAAAGCACAAGATTCATTAATGCAATTCGATATAGCAGCTTACTGTCAAAGAGCAACAAAAGTAGAGTGCTTAATTGTATTTTAAAAAAATCATTTAAAATTCAGTTTTATCCTGGCACAATGTCTTCCCAACAAATGAGGAGTTGCTTGATTGTGATGGGTGGCATATAAATTTAATAATTAAATACCCATGTGAATTTTTTGAATTTTTTTTGAATTTTATTATATTTATACCCCGCCCTTCTCCCGGAGGACTCAGGGCGGCTTACAGCCAGTTTAAAAACAACTAATACAATACAATACAAAATTTAAGAAAATGATTAAAAATAAATATTTAAATAGGCCGCTTCTACTAAAATTTAGTTAAAACCAATTTAAAATACCCCTAGGCCAGTCCTGCCCGCT